ATTATATGGAAAGCCTCCTTTTGAAATGCACCTAAAATGTAATTGTAAATTTACCTGCAAGTGATCAGAATATAAACTGTGTTAAAATCCAGTGTGTGAAAGACAGTAGAATCCTGGCTTGGTTATACCTGTATGACTTTAACCAAGTAGCTTAATTAATCTATAAATGAGGATAATAATCCCTCCTTTATCTACTCTTACAGGACTGTTTCAAGGGATTTTTTTTTTTTTTTTTTTGCATACAAGTTCTTTACTAAAGTATGAAACAGTTTATTAAATTATTATTTTATTATACAAATGAATGTGAGCCATGGTTCCTGACTTCTTAGAGTTTACACAATAGATAGAAGTAAAAAAAAAAAAAAAAAAAGGAAAAAGAACTTCACAAACAAATACCAAAATGTTTGCAAAGCTACTTAAAACAACTAAGTGCAACTTAGTTTTGGTGCATATCAAGTATGGGAGTCTAAAGTGAATAGCGGAGGTGAATCAGGGGTTAAGCTGAGCTTCTAAAAACTACATGTTATGAATTACTCTATTCATTTTTTCCAGTTTTTATTATGAAAATGTTCACGTATACAACTAGAGTTTATGATGGTTAACATGTAGCCATTTACTTATATATGACTATGTATGTTTTTTCCTAAAACTTTTGAAAGTAAATTGCAAATATTTCATCCCTAAATACTCAGTATGCATCTCCTACCAAAAAGAATGTTTACCCACATGACCCCAATACCATTATCACATCTAAAAAAGGTAACAGTAACGTCCTGATAGCATCTAATAATCAGCTAATAGTCAGATTGATATCTAGATTATTCTCAATTGCCTCAAAAGCCTTCTTAGAGCTGTTTCAGCCCCCTCCCCCCAAATCAGGACCCACACATTACATTACTCAAGTCTTTTTCAGTCTCTTTCATCTCTTCACTTTTTTTCCCCATGACAATAGGCCATTTCTTTTGAAGAATATTCTGGATTTGAGGGTTTTTTTTCTCCCTCATAGTAATAGTTGTTCCCCTTTTCAAAGACAACAGGCCATTTCTCTGAAAGAATATTCTGGATTTGCATTTTTTTCTCTTAGTATTATTTGTTCCCCTATCCCTGTATTTACTGAAAACTGGATTGTTAGGCCTAAAGACTTAATTATATTCAAGTACACATTTTAGATAAGATACTATATTGGTGATGTATACTTCATATTGCAATTCATTGAGAGGCGCACAATGTCATGTCATTTCCATTCTTAATGGTATTAAGCTAAATAGTCTGGTTAGAGTAATTACCATTAGCTAAATTTATTGTAAAGATATATAGTTCGCTTTGCAATGATCAAAGGATGAAATTTGAGTATCTCTGAATAACCTGTCTTCCACTAGTTTCAGCATCCGTTAGTGATTATCCTGAACCATGTTATTTGGCATTGCAAAATGGTGAATATCTAATTTTGTCACCCCTTCTGCTGTCATTCTTCTATAAAGAAAAGCTTTCACTCATCAAATAGGCACGACCTACACTTCCTCCTAAAAAAAGCAAGGTGCTTCTGACCCTTTCATTGCCAATTTTCAGAAAAAGAAATTGATGTAATAGTCACCTCCCATGGTAACAACTTAATTTTTTTTCATTTCTGTTTTAGAGGATTACTATGCACTGATTTTTTAAAAATCCATTCAGTATTTTGGTAAAAGAAATCAAAGCAGTTTGATTTCTACAAAGTGTAAGTTTTAATAATTATTATTTTAAATTACTTTTTAAAATTTGGTAAGACTGGATGTGAAGTCTGAGTCCTAATGGATGGAATGGAGGGTAACAGGGTTAATCAGAATAATTTTTTAAAACTATATTATTAAGCATCTCTAATCATTTTTTTTTAATTTATGAGATGTTCTTTTTAAAAAGTCTCTGAGTACCTTACCCAGAGTGTAACTGAAAACAAGAATGTCAAAAAGGCACATTTAAATTGTTCTCAAAATCAATCAAAAATAATGAGGTGCTAGGAAAAAGTTGTATCCTTGATAATTACATCTATCAGTATCAGAAAACAAAAGAGAACAATCAGGAAATGACAATCCCACTCCCAAGTAGCACATTTAAAAAGGCTAATGAAAAAAAAAGTCTCTTTTAAAAATGTACTAAATTAGCATTTCAAGTAAATTGACAACTTAAGCGTTGATAAAGGCCAATCTGGGGCCCAAACAATGGAAGTTCTGTTTCTACTTTTATCTGCTTTTAAAAGAAATTATCTCACTTGACTTTTTTTGTTGTCTTTTATATAAATGTAAGTAATTGTCCTAAGGGAGGTGACAATCCTCATGTACTCTGCAAGGGTCAGATCATACCTGGAATATCAAGCTTCATTTGGGGTTCTATTTCTTAAAACATTGACCTGGAGATAGGTAACCAGAATGGGAGGTAATTCATTTCTTACATTGTGCCCCTATGTTCAGTCTGAAGAGGGGCTAATGTAATTGTCATATGGGACAATGGATTCAACCTCTTCTTTGTAGCACCAGAGCTTAGAGTTAGGGCCAATGGGTGAAAGTGGCAGAAAAAGCAGATTTGGATCTAGAATTAGGAAGAATTCTCTCATAATTTTAGCCATACAGAGGTGGAATAAATTTACCTCCAAGGGAATGAGTTCCCCAAGGCTGACACTGTTCAGAGGTTATAATCCCTTTACTTAAAGATGGTGTACAGGTGTGCAGGGATCTCTCCAATATTTTGCAAAGAATCTATAGTTATAATGAAAGATGCTTTAAAGGTCATTTAACATCACCGTTTTAAAAACTGAGGATAAAAATGAATTTTATATCCTGCCTTTAAAAAGAAAACCCTTAACACATACCAATTTGCATATCATGGCTTTGTATTTGGGAAATGTGAAAAATATGGTGAAGTAGAGTTCAAGCTTCAGTATTTTAAAATCACGGTTCATTGTTTTTGATCACAGTAAATTCTTATCTAGTTGTAAATTTAGTAGCTTATAGATAAGAATATGGCTTTTTAAATAAAAATATATAACATAGCATTTTAGACACTGTTTTGTGAGTGGAGAGAATTAATGTTTGAATTATCAGTAGTGGCAAAAGGATTTTCATTCGATGATAAAAGAAAACTTACATGTGTCAGTTCATTTTGAAGACAGTAGTAAGTGCTGGCATTTTATTATTTTGGCTTTTCAAATGGTTTTATTCTTTATTATTAGACTAGGAAAAAAAAACCCTAGTATATTCTGCCAACATATTCATCAGTCATCATTTTTGGAGACAGTTTTCGACATATTGCATGTTTTACTGTGCTAACAAGAGAAAAGACTAGCCATTAAGTTTATGTTTCTTTGTTTTTCAGCAAGGTCACATATCAGGAATAATGCTAGAAGTATGCTAATAAACAATATATAATGTAGGTCATCAGGGAGTAAGAAATATTTTCTAACTAGTTCTAAAGGGAAATATTGTTAAAAAAGGGATAGATGTTATTTACGTAACACATGTTGCTCTATATGTCACCATCAAATGCATCTTGTAAACAGCTCAGTGTAGTAAATCTTCCTTGGTGATTGTCAGGGTGTTTGAAGTCCGTGTTAGATTTAGATTCAGCACATACTTCGCAATATGCCTAATGTACAAAGACCGTCAGATAATTTAGACAGCCTCCAGTGGAAATATGCCTATACTTGTGTGGTTTACAAAGAATATTGTTCACTGTTGCAGAAGAAAATATTATGTTAAATTACAATAATTAGGAAAAAATTATATTAATGGCATTTATAATTTTAAATCTCAAATGAATTATGCTAAATGTTTGTGCTTAACTTTGATTTTGTTAAGTTCTAAAGAACTTCAGTTCCTTCAAATTGATTGTAATTTACAGGCTGGTATTTCGTTATTAATGCCATTTGTAAGACAATTTTTTATGACTTCAAATGAAACGATAATTCTGTAAAAAATGCTTGTAAGAAAATGTCATTTATGTGATTTTACAAATGTAATTTTCTCATGTTTGGGACATTTTAAAAATGGATTATTTTCATAATGGTTTATTTTGTCTTCCAACATGGTTTTTAATTACAAATATTAAGATTCATCAAAAAGGAAGTTATGTAAGTATGTGCTCTGGAAAACACAACTAATACTCTATTTATTGAGTTCATCTAATAGGTGCTGGGACTCAATAATAAAGATGTAAAATTATAATGGCTGCTTTATGGTTCAGAAATCAGAGCACCTACCAGCATTTAGAGTCAAAAGAATGTATTTCTCTTCCCAGCTGTACGGCACCGTGACATCAAGCAAATCTTTCTATTTCTCTGGACCTTAGTTTCTTCATTTATGCTATAAGAATTGTAATAAAAATCTTGCTCTATCTACTTCACAGGACTGTTGTGTAAAATGATAAAATAGTGTTAGAATGTTCATTATGATACTATTTCTTTATAGGATGAAGTACATATTTAAATGCTAATACTTAGCAACTTCTAAAACATCATTTAAATTGTAGACTTTAGCTAAAAATTATATCTCTAAATATTTTAGCTGGAATCCGTGAATCTTAACTTACTAGCCATATCACTTATGGATAGCTAGAAGCAACACCCTAGTTATATTGGTCAGAATGAAATTGTGCCTGATCTTCAAAGACATTGGATTCTGAAACGCTGTAGATTTTTTTTAATACTCATGTTTTTTAAAACTGTATTTCTGTAATACTTCTGGTTTTAAAAACCTTCTGTTTTTGAGTTTAGGGATGTTTAAAAATATATTATGCCATAATTATGTGCTTCTCTTTCTTCTAAATGTCTGCAAATGAAAATATGGTGTTGGGATCAAGCCATAAGGTGTAAGGAAGGAATTCGTGGAACTTGGGCCAAGTGGCCCTGTAGTTTAGTTTGTTTCTTAGCAACATAGGTAAGACCAGCATCTCAGAAAAATGTTTTTTAAACAAAGAAACAATTAAGAGTCCATGTGTCTAAGTAACTCTGTTTATACTTGTTTTCTCAGAAGAAGACCTATCAATGCATCAAGTGTCAGATGGTTTTCTACAATGAATGGGATATTCAGGTTCATGTTGCAAATCACATGATTGGTGAGTGACACTCTAAACCTTATTACAGATAGATGTTTCTTCTACTTGTGTATATCACCATTAAACAGAGTTAAAGATGAATTAATTGTTCAACCATCAATGGTTTTCCTCGGCATGATTGATTTTTTTTTTAATTTCTGTTATTAGTCCTGATAAGGTATTAGCACATTTTATTTTCTGCAAGGGCTAGTTTAGACTTCTGCAGAGGATTATATATCTACTGCCAGTCAAAACACAAGTGATTAACAAATTAAACTTCTAATCATTTTTGCATTATTGAAAACTAACAGGAATGGTTAATGAACTGGATGTTAGCTTTCCGTAGAGTTTTAGACAGGTTTTAATTTCAGAAGTTATTATGGTAATGGCACTGCTGTGTGTTGCTTAAGCATCTTTGTATCAAAATCTGAAGTAGTGAGTTTTTGTGATAGGGAAACATAAATAATTTAAATAGCCATAAAATAGTTTTATATGTATGGTTTCAACAGCCTGGAAATAATCATGATCATAAAGATCATGTAAAGAATTCAGTAATCATTTTTTATTCCCCACCAAATTTTCCATAGATTTTTATAAAAGTGGTTTGGGGAAAGATTTCTGAAGTTACTCCAGGCCATTGTTTTTAGGATTTTGCATGTATCACATGGGCTAAAACTAAGAGGATATTTTTTTAACCTATTCATATTGTCCCATTATTTCTTAATTCCTCACGGATTAGTGCCTATGTCTTTTAATTTGGTAAGCACTTAGTAATAACACTAAGCGTTTTACCAGCCAATTAAACTTTATCAAGCAGATCATTTTTCTACTAGTAAAATGACAATTGCTATTACTTTATGCTATTCTTGTTATTCATTTGTGTTTTTTATACTATGAGTTTTTTATTTCATACTCACTTCATGGTATTTCATAATACCATAAATAATTATAATATTTAAAAAGTCAAATTAACCTCATACTCTCCTACGATGAAACTCTATACGACAGGAAAGAAAATTCAACATTTGAGACTATGAACTTGTTTTCAGGGAGGAACCAGTTTTATTGTATACTAATTAGAAGTATGCTAAGAATGCTTTGTGGAAGGTTGTTCTCCTGTCATTTCTGATCATTAAAGCTATTACAAAACTTCCATTTTTCTGATATAAATTAATGAAGATAAATTCAAAGGCATGTTGGAAAATTGATAATTTTTCAAAAGGATGTGCTTTATGGTTTTCAAATGATAGGTAGGCGGTTGTTGCTTATAAACGACTAAGAGCTTATTTGTGCAAAATGGAACTTATACATAGCAGCTAAAATACTGATCAATTTATCTCTACATTTTCCAGATTTAAGTATTAATATTATTAGTGATTTCACCTATATTAAATAGTATATCCTTCAATGTGACAATAGCGTTGACAACTTTAGTGAGTGATTAGAAGATAATGGCAACACGTAGGAGAGATTCAGATGTTTCCTTGAAATTCCCTTCTGTTTGAGAATGTGAAAAATACCTTATGTAAACTTTTAAAACAGCTTTTTAGAGGAGAGGAGTGGCTTAGAAAAAATGAATTCCTGCCAAATGATAAATGTTAATATTTCCCGTCTCTTTATTTCTTGAGTAGACTGTGTTGGTGGCAGTCATTCATGATTCTACCTCATGCTGCACTTTTAGATAGACTTGAATGAAAGCAGTTCTTAGAAGTTTGCAGTTCATGAGAAATTCAGTGAAGTTTTGTGGTCATGCTTCTTACTAGTTCTATTCAGTGTAAACTTATTTTTGTTTCTGGATTTATTTGTCCCAGTACTCAGATGAATATGTTGAATATATTTTCACCACAATGTTAATACTCTTTTGCACATTTATAATTTCTATTGAATGTTCAGCATAACGGTACTTTTTGATTTTCCAATTTTAGTATCATTTTGCCTATAAACATTAATCAGTTTGTTTTGTCTTCTTTTTAAATTGCTTTGTATCATTCCTGTTTGTACTTATTTTATATTCCTTGCATCATTAGTGCTTTCCCAAGGCTTTTTCCCTTCTACCTTATAGTGGATTAATAAGACACTCACCTCTTGGGACCTGAGCATTTAACAATTCACCTTTCATCAGAGAAGCACATTCCATTCCTTTGCACAGAGGGTCTAGTTATTTAATATTCATTCCATTTTTAATAATAAAAATATGTAATTCTCTTGCACTTGAGGCCTAAATAAATGAGTAGCATCCATTTAATTGTTTTATCTGTTGACCATGCATCCAAGTCCTTACACCCTATTCGTGCTGTTAGTATCTAGAGAGAGAGAACGCAAAAATGAAGGGCGTCACAAAGGCTGATGCCCCTTTTTAGAATTCTGATGTGCTATTTAGTCTTTCAAATGAGGCAGGCAGCATTATTTTGTTGGCTAAAATTCCTCCATTGAGGGTAGGTATTTTTAGGCTGTATATCTGTGTGTGTTTTTTGTCTAATCAAAAAATAATCTCAACTAGACATTCAGTAGAGGAAGGGGGATTAGGGACTATCTGAAAAGCCTCTTACTCCTTTTGTTAAGAGGGTATATAGTGTTCTTGCGGATTTTGTTTTACATTTCAATCAATGTAGAGGAAGGATTATGTCACCTGATGGAAAACAAGACCTACAGTTGACCCAATGAGGTGTAACTTTAAATTCCTTCTTTACTCAAGTCATTTGCATTTGCTTCTGTGGCACCTAGGTTTTTGTGCAATCTCAGTGTCAGGCAACCGCCACGCATCTTTCTGGATGTGCTGGTCTCAGGCTGTTGGCCAGGGACATTTGTGAAAGGGAAACCATCAATGTTTCCACCAGGTACATACCGGAGGTGCTCTTCTTAAGTGCGGTTTTGCAGCAAGGTGTGGACACATGGTCTGAGTTGCGAGAATAATTACTCGCTAAAAATGCACTAGGGAATTGACTTATGTCTATTAAGGAAAAAAAGAAAACCTCCCTCTTCACCACATTTCGACACAGTTTCAGTAAGAAATCAGACCAGTGACTATTCAGGGGTTTCTTTTCTTCTTTACACACACAGAAAAAGAGCTACAAAACATTTTAACAGCTTTCCTGGGGAAAAGATTTCCCTCTTTAAAGATCTGTGCCAATAAGAAAATTTTTCCTCTCTTCCTTTGTTCTTTTCACATAGTTTATGTTGGCTTTTGACCTGAGAATACAACAAGATACCAGGATGTATTAGGTGCTTTAATTTCCTATTCGCCCTTCTCTTTTCTATCAGCATAGTAAATATTTATTGTTATTTTCCTCTTTGAGCTGTCTGTTATTATTATTCTTCTTTGGTATGGATTAGCGCAAATAGAGATGAAACAAGAGAATTTAAATGTGTTTAACCCAGCAAAGGGATTGCCTCATATAAAATTATGAGGCTCAACAGTGTAGAGTAAATTTGTAAGTGCTCTGAATAAAGGGCTGTTAGGCATGAGATAATATAAAGAGATGACATTGCCAAGAACTATTTATGAGAAGCTTAATTTTTTCACTCTGATAATTCTTGACCAATAATTACCAGCCTCTAATTATCTATTTTAGTTAGAAAGAAATTTCGATCACTATGGAGGTTGGCATTGCAACTAGCGCATAAATCCCCAAAGAGACAAATGTGTTCCAAACAGCCACAAACAACTGTCTCATGAAACATAGTGAGCAAATTGCGAGCGGCTGGTGGTAGACAACCAGCAGTACACTCACCATCGAAGGCCAGTCAGCTTGACAAAGGAATGATCAAAGGGGAGAAATACCATTATCCTTGGAATTGATTACTATAGTTGTGGGCTTTGGAGGACAAGTAGTCAGTATATAGCTATGGCCATTTCCAGCCGTCCCTTTCAAAGTTCATGGATGGAGAAAATGAATGGACTAGGTACAAGCCTTTTACATAAGGATTATTTTTAATAATATACTTAGAAATGGTTACTTAATAAATTTCATTTTTTTTCATCTGATTAGAAAACCAGTGTTGTAATGGCAAAATTGTTCTAAGTGTCAGAATACCCCATTTTGTTAAAGATAGGAAAATCCAGAAATGGTCGCTAATAAACATGTCCTAGATAGATCAAGTGTAATGTTAAAGCATTTTGAAGAAGCAAATATATTTATCTCTTAGAAAAGCAGAGCTAGAATTTGGGATTGTAAAGGATAGCTAGTAGGAAAAGGATGCAAAGATACTGACTTTGTATTTATATCTCTAATAAATACTCAGTATTTTATAGATAATCACGATTTTCAAAACACCAGGAAAAGATTAAGCTCTTCTCCAGCATATGTGGGAAGATATGTACTCTATGTGTTGTGTTACACGTGATATATATCACTGATGTCAAGGCATCAAGTATGAGTAAATCGGTTCTTAACAGTGTGATGAAATTGTAGTCTGTTCTGTGGCAGGTGGCATTCATACATCCTGCAATTTGTTTGGTGCCCAAGGTCACAAATGGCATTGTTTTCCTTTCATTTCTTTAGTGGGTGGTGTACTATGAGACTAATCTTCATTATCGTTTTGTGGCATTCAGTATCACCTCTGAAGCATTTCAGCTTGAGTGCACTTGCTTTAGAAAAGACTAAAACCAGTATTTTGAGGTCCATAGTAGTTTAGGATTTTATGTCCTAAGGGAAAATATCCAAATATATGGAAGAGAAAGGTCCACGTTGCCCTTTAAACTCTTACTTTCACTGACTGGTTTCAAAAGAATGAATAGAAATGGATCAACAATAATGCCTATATGTGTGGGTATACATATGTGTTTATAATCTCCATGCTATCCTAAGAAGCTCAAAATCATTGAGATATTTTGGACTCTTGATTTACATTCATTGTAAATGAGAAGATGACTGAATGCTTTTTTTTAAAAAAATCATCTTTTTTTGATTGCTTACAAAATTCAGAGAATTAAGAAACAAGCATTTGGTGTTAAATATGATAAAACACTGGCTTATTTCATCAAGAGCTGGATTAAAAAAGATGAAATCTGGGCAGTTTAA